GCAACTCAAAGTGTTGCAACTTAAGTTGCAACTAGTTAAAAATTTTAAAAATAATTATGGGAACCATCTTTAGTTATGAGTTTCAGATTGTGAGAAGTTATTAGAAAGAGGAGTTGATAATTCTAAAAAATATAAATTTAAATTTATGTTAAAATAATATTGAAATTATACTAAATAAATTTCTTACCTTGATTTCTGATGGCTAATCTTATATGCCTTTTTTCTTGAACTTGAGACGCTAAATAACGTAAATATTAAATTTTAATAATAACTTTTCTTCAATTGGAAAATTTTATTATTCTAACATGATCTCTTCCAAAATGGGGTTTTGAATTATTCTCCAAAAACTTCTTCAATATGCGTTCATTTTTCTTTCACATTTCCATCAGCATTTAATTCAAACAACTAAAAAATTAAAATTATTAAATTATTATTGTAAAATATAAATAATATAATATTTTTACTCTTTGTTTACTAGTAATTTACTTACTTTATAATCTCTGACTATTCCTTTAAATTTTTTCCTTGCCTGCAATCCATTAAATACCATCATGAATCTTTCCTGAATCTGCACTGCAATTTTATTCCAAAAAGGTAACTTCAATCTTTCAAATCTTCTCCAGTAATCTTCATTTCTTTTTTTCTTTAAATCAATCAAGTATTGCTTTTCATCATCTGATCATTCAATTGTATTAAGCATTTTTGGTATTTGTTATTTTTAAAGATTTAAAAATTGTTAATGTAAATATTGAACAATTAAAGAAACAAAACTGTGATAAAACTTTCCTTATATAAAATTTATCAAAACATATTAGCATTTAATTAGTTTAATAGATTGGCAAAATATCTAATTTTTATGCAACACAGAAAAAATATATATTTCGTCTCATTTTATCAATAGCTTTGAGAGAGGATTTTACTTATTCAATATTAATGGCACATTCCAATCCAGTCTGATCGCTAATGGATCATCAATTGGCTTAGTAAAATCAAAGATCATGAAATTTCTAACAATCAAAGAAATAATCTAATTTTTAGCAATTTCAAAATTTACAGTTTCACAATTAAAATTTTTATAATTTTAAAATTTACGCAGTTTTTATAATTTTACAATTGTAATTTCAAATTTGAATTACAGAAATTAAATAAATTGAATCAACAAATTAATCACCATTGATTTAACACTGATTAATCCTAGGTTCAACACTAAGTAATCTGTGGTTCAATACTAATTAATCCTTATAGGTATTTATTAAATAATTATACAATATGGTTGAAACTGCAGCTAAAAATTTAGCTTAACTAATTATCCAATTTGAAACCAGTTTATTTATCATAATTTCAACGTAATTTGCAAAAAAAAAAAGGTTATAAAAAATTTTTTCATTATAACTATAATATATTTTTTATTCTTTATTAGTTATATCATTTCTCAAATATGAATTTAAGGTAACTTGCTATTTATAATGGAATTATTCTCATTCTACAGCTTTATGTAACTTTTTATTACACGAATTTGATTTTTTGAAAAATCAATTTTATTGGATTTTTGTTTTGCATAAATGATTATTTTGTTAAGTACTGCTAATACTTTATAATTACTAATATTAGAAATTTCTGATTCTTCATTATTTGGTTCTTCTTTTGGTTCTTTTATTAATTATATAATTTCCTCATCTGTTATTATCTGATGAGTTGTTTCATCTTTTTCACATTGCAAATATTCTTTGATGGGAATTGGATTTTTGTATATATTAGGAGTTAATCGAACAATAAATTCTTGTATTTTATTAATTTCATCAAAATCTGTAAAATTGACAAAATCATCAACATCAATTCTTTTATTATCATCAGTATTTAGTATTAGAATATCTGTTTTCCTCTAATAATTTATAATTACTTCTGGTTAAACCAAATCCTATGTTTTTGCTGTATACTGTATTATCACAAAATTATCGTTATAGATTATTTTTATTTATTTAATATAAAAATTTCTTTTTTATTGAAAATTTTAAATAATGACAAAATGGAAACTATTACAAAATTAATGCTTTTTTATCTAAAACAAGTATTTGATAAACTTATTAAAAGAATCGAAAATCAAACTTCAGATCCTTGTTCTATATGCAACAAAGAAATTTTTTAAATAATATACTTATGTTATATTCAATTTTAACTTGCGATTATGTGTTTCACTAGGATTGTCTTGCTATATATGCAATTGCTAATTAGAATATTTGTGATAAAATTCTTGAATAGAATATAATTAAAAAAAATGAAAAAAATTAGATATTTTAAAAAAGTAAAAATATTAAAAAGACAAAAAAATATTACCTTAATTCAAAAATTAATAACAAATATTCCTGACTTACAAATTATAAAAAAAGATAAAAATGATAATACAAATAGTTTTTTTAATTAATAATAAAAGCTGAAAGTTAAAATTAAAATTTCAAATCAAGAAGTAATTAAATGTTATTTCTTGTTTGGCAAAGCTATATTAGAAAAAACTGAATATTACAAAAAATTTTATGTAGAATATGTAATATAACAAAAAGTTAATGATGAATTACGACAATAATTTTCAAATGATATTTCATAAGATAATCTAAAAAAAACAAAAAAAAAACCCCAAAAGATTTATAATCTTTTTAGTAAAATTGGAGAAGAAAAAATCACATGTGTATGATCAATTTCTATATTAGATAATTTAAAAATAAATTCTAATGGTATTCAAGATATTATATTATTGAAGAGATTTTAATTAAAAATAAAAATATTATTTCACATGATATTATTTTTTATAATTAATGTTAAATACAGATTTTTATTAATAATAAGTATATTTTTATATTTTATATAGTTTTTCAATAATATTTATATGAAAATAAAATCAATTTATTAAAAAATTTTAACATATATTTTTTCTTGAAAAATTTATGCATTTTTTTTTTTATAAATTTAAGAATTTTTTTTTAAATACTATTTATAATATTTAAAAGCAAAATTAATTAAGCAATTTATTTATTTAATTATTTTTAACAAAAATAATACATGATATTTAGCAAATAAAAGTTATATATAATTAATTATTTTTATCAGCTTCAGAAATTGGATCCCATTCTATATTATTTTCATTTTTTGATCCAATTATATCTTGAATATCATGCTCATTATATAAATCCTCTTCCATATTTATATTTTCACTATCATCAATGATTTTATTCAAATTTTTAATAAATGCATTCACATTTAAATTTAAAACATTACTAATTATTAAATTATCATCTTCATCAAATGACTTTGCTTCTATATTATCAATTTTATCAATATCATTTATAAGTTTAATAAAATCATTATCTGGATTTAAATAAGCATCAACTAAAATATTACAAATTTCTTCACTTATTTTTCCTATACTATAATATGGTAATTCTTGTTTTGCATATGCATGATAATATGCTGATAATTTATACATATTTTCAATTTTATATAATTCCAATCAATTTCATTTTTTATCATATCATATTTAGCTGTATGAGATATAACTGATAGTAATTTAAATGCAAGCTGTATTAAGTAATCCTTTTCTTTAGGAAAATTGTCTTCTGTAACAAACCACCAAGTAAAAAAATTCATTGCTTTCTAAATCAATATCAAATAGCTTTTCACACATATGAAATAATTTTATTTGATACATTAATACTTTTCATGCAAAATTTGATTTTTCCATTTTTCTAAAAATTTCATTTGCAATTATTAAAAGATCCCAAAAAGATCAACGCGTCTAATAAATTTCTATAAAAATTAATAAAAATTTCAATAATTATAAAAATTAAACAATTTTTTAAATAAATTATTATTAACCTTTATAATCTGGATGTAAAAAAAAACTTAACAAATATAATGAATCAGCAAAATCAATATATTACTTATTAAAAATTGCAATATATTGATGATGAAAAGTAAGATAATCATTTTCAGGTAATTTTTTAATTGTAGTTCTAAGTTATACTAATCTAAGAAAGCAATCAGCAAGTGTGCATGCATAACTTTGATTCTAATATTAAAATTGTTTTTTTAATAGGATATAATATAAATGCTAATGTACATAAATCATCAAAAAAAACATGAGATCATAAAATTGATAAAATTGCTTGTGAAAAATCATTTCATAATCTGATTGTAACTTTAAATTACCGTAGAGCACTGCCTAAGAGACCCCTTTTTAATAGTATTCCCATGATAATATACCCAGGTATTTTATTAGATGCAAAACAATGGCTATTAAATTAAGACCCAGGTATCAATCAATTTTCAAATCAAGTAAATTGATTAATACCCAAATATTTTATTAATCATAAATAAATTAATTTATATATAATCTTAATATTAATTATATAAAACAAATAATTTCATAATTTATAAGCTTAGAAGATAAAAATGTTTTTGAATTAATTAATTTAATAAGCAAAAAAAAATAATAAAAGCAATTGATTCTATTTTAAATTTGTACAAATTGCAAAAAGTAATTATTATATAATTAAAAAACTTCCCTCTCAACATAGTAATTATTATTTATAAAAAACCCCCTAATAAATCCAAAGTATTAAATAACTATAAAGAAAAGTATAAAAGAATTAAAATTATATATATGTTTAAATATAGTAAATATTTTCA